TGGCATCAACTTAATTGTTGGCCAATAAGAAATAAAGTAAACTGTGAAATCTTTGCAACAATCTTGCTACCCAGCTGCTGGCTCAGCAATTGGTTGTTCTTTTCATGTTGCATTTTCATTCTAGGTTAAGAACAATAGTCACTAGAGTTGCCTATTTAATTTAGGGGCAGAAAAAAAAGGACAGAAAATACTTGAAAACTTTCAAACCTCATGGGGCCAATCCTGCCACTACTGAAGACAACAGGATTTTTGCCAGCTTTTTGGATGAAACTTTTGTTGAGTTAGAAGCACAGAGCAACTACATGTTTTTAAATGAAAAGCATGTATTAATTAGATTTTGACATGATAGTGTAAATAAAAACTATGAGATACAAATTTAAATTGAGCTACTGTTACAAAATATATAGGACATGAAACATAGTTAGAGGTTCAGGCCAAGACCTTTGCACAGAGCTGAATCCAAAAATCTTGCTCTTTTTTTCTATATTTTAATGAAAGCTTTGAGTTTTATAGATACTATTGTGCACAGCAAAAACTGGAGAGACCCTAAAAATCAGTGGACCATGACTATTTTTAGCACCTGCTATTTTCTACTGTCCCTGATGTTAAGCCAATTTTGGGAAGGATTTGGCTGTGTGTGTATTTCTGTGAGACGTTTGCAATCAGCCGTCATGTAAATTATACAAGAAGCAACCTAAGAGTAGCAGCTCTGTAAGCATTAGGCTGAGCAGAGGGAACATCCAGTTCTTCCATCTCTTAGGTGATGTCAAAAAAACAGGTGGGCAGACTTCATTAGATTCTACTCAGACCTGAAGGGATCCTCATAATGTGTACTAAGCTGTGATTTTTTGCAAATCATAATTATTTATTACAATTATTTCCAATCAATGCTGCTGCTGCTTTTATTCCAAATTATTTACATGTATGTTTCAAAAGTCAGAGGTTTGTGCACTATCTGCATGAAAAATGAATAAAATACTTAGCAAAGAAAGCTGTATATTGCTTTCATCCTCTCATAACTTAAAACTCTTAACATTTCCTCACATTTTAGAACAAAATTAGCCGAAAATTATGCACTGTTTCAGCCTGAAATGTTTTGCCTTTTTTTTAAACAAAACCTTGCCATCTGAAAATGTGGAGTTATCACTTACTAGTTACTAAGTGCTAGTAAACTTTTGTAAACAGAGTATATGCTCCTTTGACCATTTGAATGAGGGTAAAACTTACTCTGTACAAAGAGCCAGGCCAGAGCAAGCCTTAGGCAACACAACAGTCTCTTTTGAGGGTTGAAGTAAATTTTCTGTGGTGCTGGTTATCTGCACAAGTGTGAATGTCCCATTTTCGATCTCAATACACTCTTCTGAAGAAAATGGAAAGAACCCCCTTGACTTCAATGAAAAGTGTATCAGTCTCTTAGTGAGCACAAAACTGACTTCATGACCTGAGTGCATCAGCCCAACCTTGCTCCTGCTGAAGTCAATGGGAGTTTTGCCAATAACTTCAATTGAGAAATGCTGTGACCTATAATGTGAGCTCACTTAGTAGTTTATGAATGGTAACTTAGGGAAGTCTGATAAATAACATGCAGCCTTTTACACAGAAACCTATGTTTAATTCCCTAACAGATATGACATATTAGCATTTGAAAGAAACAATTCTTTTATTTCAGATAAGCAATTCTTACAGATTCAGTTAGGTTTTTTTATTCCTTATTTATGTCCCTCTTTGTATCTGCATATCTTCTTATTTATTCTTATTTAATTATGAACTAAAACCATTTATACCGATGGGGAGACTGTAACATGAATCATGAACTCAGAGACTATATAGTGAAAAAGTAACTTCAAGAATATTTTGGCTAAATTCTGCCCTTTGTAGAAAATGACTACCAAAAAATCAAAAGAGATATCCATACATGTTCAAATGCAAAGCCCTCTCAGCGTACTCCTCCTCTAAACTATAAAAGTCATCTTTGCCTTAGTTATTGCAGGTCACTTGTAATGTCCTATAATTTGATCCACTTGATTTAGGTCAAACTACTTTATGAAACTTCTGTCCCAGACCCCTTCCTGGTTTAAGTTAAATCAGAGTCCCCCAGCATTTCAGCATGCTTTCCAGCCCTAGGCTGGGGTCTGGAGCCAGGGAGGGGAGATAAAACCCCCTTCCCCTGAGTACAGTTTGCCTTGCTCCTAAACTTGTGGGAAGTTACTGCTGGCTGCGATGGTGGACTACACATCCCAGAGGTACCTGGAAGAGGAAGAGGAAGCAACCCTGCACAGTCCTGCTTCTGTGATGCTGGACTACAAATCCCAGAGACCTTGGGAGCAGCAGTAAGAGGAAGTACCAGAGATCTGTGCTCTAGCACCCCACAGCTTCTCACCTGAGCCACTGCAGGTATGTGGCTGCATTTCCTGAATAACAGGTAAATGTGTGTCATTGTTTTTCAGTTTAATCCTTGCAGCTTAGACTAACTTGGAAGGACTGAATTGATTCAGCCTCAGTCTTTTTGAGTGTCTGTACTTAGCCTTAGTCAATACCATTAATGAGGACAACCCTGTATGTTAAATGAAGGTGGCATCTTTCTATCCCTTCCTTGATTTCTTTTATTTTTGCTTTTCCATTCAATGCTTTTATTTGCCACATTGCATATTTTTCTTTATATCACTGTGCAGCAACACCTGCTGATGCAGCTAGTACTGTATCCCTACTGAAAGCTTCTGCTCAGCTGCCAGATCTAGTTCAAGTTGTATGACCAAGTCCAAGTTGCTAATCTGGAGAATGATGTTTCTGTCTTGTACTTCAAGGCCCAGAAACTTGCTGTCTATAGTATGGAGTAAAATTGTAGGCTATTCATCAATGTCGGAAGTCAAGGTTTTATTCAGTTAAAGGGTTAGCTTCTTTCTTTCACAATGAAGACAGAACTAAAATAATGGTGTATCTATTTGGTTTGTAAGATACTTATTGCACAGTAATTAGATAAAGGTTCTTTGTGAAAACCATGTTCGCTAAAGTTTAGTAGCTTCAAAATATCTATTACTCTACTGTATAAACTGTTGAACCTTCCTGATAATGTTCTTGAAGGTCAAAGGAAATTATCTAACTCAAAAGGTCTGATTTTTATGAAGGCAAGGCCTGAGGTCTATATGCATGTGTAATTACTGTAACTGTGCACTCAAACTGACTACGTAATGTACAAATGAATCTAAATAAGTGTACACCAACTCTACAAACAAAGTGGCTTCAAACTTCATAACAACAATTAAAATCCAATGTTCCTCTTTTGAATATTGTAACAAACAGTTGCAACCTCATTAATATACATGGCTGTTTTATATTAACATGGGCCCCGATTCAGAAAAGCTTTAACGTGATTAACTTTAATCACATGCTTAAGTCCCTTTGACAACAATGTAACACCAGAAACAATCTTAATAATCATTTGGTATCCACCTATACAACAGTAGAGCTGTCTGCCGTTACAAATCCAATATTGTATTCCTCATTCTACTTAAAATTTGTTTAATTGATTTTAATAGGAGTTTTGCCTGAATAAGAAGTATATGACTAAGCCCATTGTATAGATCTAAGTAAAAGCTTCCAGGTGGAAAAGAATGGGAAGCCTAGTGAAAGCCACTACGCAGCCTACTGAGGAAAGGGAACATCTCAAATTTCTGCAAAAAAAGGACATACCTAAATGCCTGGCCACCAGCAGGCTGCAGAATCAGCAGCAGCATCCTGCATTCCTCAGCAACAATGCAAGGACTTTGGGGGAGAAGAGAAATGAGAGGGGAAACTAAAAAAATTGGGTTCTTCTAACAGTTTTATAGAAGGGCTTAAGAACACAGCTAGGAATGGCTAAATCAAAACAATGGTCCACCAAATTTACGTTAAATACGTAGTTATACAGTCAAGAAACTTAGGTCAAAATTTTCAAATAGGGGTGCCTGAAGTTAAGAAAATACACCCAAATTTAAGCTCTCTGGCACAAGTGTCTTACTTTTCAAAGACACTGACTACCTCATTGTGTTCAATGAGTTTTTCCAGGTGTTTGGAAACTCTGAAATATCAAGCCACTCTTGCTGAAGAGTTAAATTTGGATCTGGGTGCTGGACCTTAATTTAACGTGACACTATATTCCTGAAGAGGCCAGGATTGGCCTCACATTCTTCAAACAAAACATCTTCAATTTGACTTGAGAAGATGAGATCTAAATGAAAGTAAACAGTTATTTTCTTTACGTTGGCTTCCTGGGTAAAACCAGTGGACATGCAAATTATCACATTTGTATTGTTTAATGCTGAAATACACGGTGGCTTTTGACAGGCATTAGAAACAGGTTTGTAATGCGGATTATAGGACCGAGACCGAAGCTCACTAACTTATTTCACATAGAATGTTATCTGAAAGATATTTGGTGAATCTGGTTAAGGCTGCAGTAGGGTCTTAGAGGTGAAAGGCCAGGGACTAATCCACTGATGCACACAAAACACTACAACATTACATTTTGTTTCATTTCTAAATGGATTAGAGCTTTAACAAAAATAAACTGGATTTTGCCAACCAATGAAGTGCCATTTTACAGCTAGGAGCAAAATGTGCAGCAAGATGCTTATGCACAAAGGTAGGTTCAAGGAGACTCACTCAAGAGGTAGCCATGGCAACCTTCAGAAAACAACCAGTTTTCTTAACAGCAATTATTTATCCATGTCCCTGAGGATCTCCTACTGAGGAATAAACAAAAACAAAAACCTGAAGATGTGTAGGGTGCCACACAGTTTTGCCTACCTTTGGCAGTCAAAATAGAAATGCTTGTGGGCTGGACCTGACAGTCCTTTAGCTCAGACAGATTTCCCACATGAAGGCCAAAGGAGTTTTACATGAGTCAAGTCAGTAGTGCCAGATACTGGAAATATAAACAGTTCATGGGAGAGAGGAGGAAGAGGAGGCACTGGGATTACACCGTTTAACACAGCCAGGGAGAAGTGTGAACGAGCACTAACCTTGAATTGTCCTCTTGAAGAAAGCCTTGCAGGCCTCACAGGAAGCCACCCCATAGTGGTACCCTGACGCAATATCACCACACACCAAACACAGTCTTTTGGGCATCGAGTTCAGCATATATTCACACTTGGTCTGTGAATCTTCAGCAATGGTACTGGAGCAGTCCTCATATAGTTTCCTGCCTGGCCCATTGCCTCCAAGCCCCGTGGCGGAAGGGTAGAGGGATGGCGAGTCCAGCCCATTCTGATGTCCATTCATGGTTGAACTATAGCTCCCACTGGCGTCTGAACAGCCACCAGGGCTGTGGTGGTTGACGCTGTCCGTCAAAGAGGCGGGGCTTGATGGTTCCGTCTTGATGTATGACGAACAGTTAGAATCAATGTGTCGATCTTTGCTTGACATTCTGCAGACAAGCCTGCATTGTGGGAGAGAGAAGGAGAAAAGAATCTGTGTATTAAAGACCGTGCTCTTTAAGACTGCTCTGCAAGGGCTAGGGACCGCACATCATTCATTCATTAGTCAATACCTCTTGTTCTACATGAAGGTAATCAGCATAAGGGCATGACAGAGCTTTATCAAAGCTTCAGACAGGCAGTAAACAAAAACTTTAAAGAGACCAAATCCTCCACTCCACCCCCCCCCCCAATTTTTCCAACTACTAGCCTGTGCGTCAATTTCAAAGCAACTCTCTAAATTTGGAATTTGTCAATTGGTGAGTCAAAGAATTCAAAACCCCATTTGATTGCTAGAATGCATTTCATTTCCCCCCCTGCAAAACTCCTTGCATAAATTCTACCTTCACTGAAATCAAACACTTCTAAGTTTGAACAGATAAATGTTTTGCTTGGTAACAAATGTTTGTCAGCATATTTCAGTAAAGCATGACTGCACTGTCTATTGATCTGACCCTGGAATTCAGGAATAAGTCTCCCACTCACTTTTTTTTTATTAAAATTGCTGCATTATATATAGCTATTTAGTAATGGAGTAACACATCATCTTGAGATTCTAACAAATAATTAAGGCTGGACTCCAGTTTCACAAAATCTAAGTAGAATGATTCATCAGCTCTGGCTGCAATTACTTTTTAGCCATTATCCTCAGACTAACCAGTAATAACTATGCCAGTACCCCATATATCTACAACTCTACAAGAGTTGACATTTTACATGTTACATTCTGGGTAAAAAAAAATGGAGGAAATGGATAAAAGTTTTGTCTTTCAAAAGGTGACATTCTTAACTGCCCTATTTCTTAATTCTTGCCTTTTCGGAGTTGAAAGCAGAGTAACAAGACTTTTACCGTGATAAATTTACTCCCTGCCCCACACACCCACAAAAAAAGAATATTTCTTTTCTGTACCCAAAACTAAACTGCCCTTTTTGTTTTAGTATCTGGAAAAGAATAATAACTGGAAAGTTTCTGATCAGATGTTACCTTTCCTGTGTGCAGCTATAATTATAAAGCCACAGTAGTAAATGGCTTGCTGAGCAAAGCCTTTGACACTGTTCTGAGAAGCTGCTAATGTACAGATGACAGTCCTGAGTAACTCTCCAGTGACTTTTTCTAAGCAGAAATACAACCACTACATAAGCTCACTCAAATTACAGTGATTCTCTGTCCTAGGGCACTATGAGATCTTTTGAAAGGTGCTCCAAGGTGTGAGGAAATTAAGCAGGTGAATGTCACTGCCCAGCCCCTCTCCAAGGAGGTAAAAATCATAATAAATTAACAGAACTAAATAAAATAAATAAATAGAACATGGCCCCTTGCTAGAAAAATCCATCTAGAGCAAGATGTCAACACAACATTGGGTGTAGGTGGCCCTAGGGCATTGGTTAGTATCTCTTCACAATGGTTAATTTTACTCTAAAAGACAAATTCCATGTGAATATGAAAAGCAACCTGGCTGAAGTTTGGCAGGTTTTTTTTCCCCTCTAAACTTAAAATCAATATTTATTTGGGGTTGGGCAAACAGGAGGAGCGAGTATTTTGTATCAGCAGAGAAGCTAAGGAAATGGGAAGGTTAAAACCGTGAAAATATCTTATGGCACTGGACCATCTGCTTGTGCTGTCCTTTCCTCAAGAACTAGTGGGGGGAAGAAATCCCCTTGCCAGCCTGCACTAGTGCATGCCTTTCCTTTTGCACCTGCTGCCTTGTACCCATCACTGTTAATGAGTGCCGTAATTAATAGATAGCTCTCTCTTGTCTTTCTACTTGCACTCTGGGCTAAGCACTTTTCTCAAGTCAACGTTTGAAAGAAAGCGGGTCGGCACTGACTTACAGCAGCTCTGCGAATTCGTTTTAATTTAGAGCACTTACACCACCACTCCACTTATTACCTTATAATTACTGGACTGCTCTCACATACATTATGATCTTAGACTAGAGTTAGAAGTTATTAGGGTACTAAAACATGGTGTCTCTCTGTCTCTGTCTCTCTTCCTCTTTTTTGTGACACTGAATTTTATATTGCTATGATTAAAAATATCAATTAACTCTTTTGCAATCTACCAACTGGCGGGTTTTTTATTTCTCCATGCTGGTCCTGAGGCCTTTGTATTGAATACAAGCACCTGGTCGTTCTGTCACCAGATTTTTGTTGAGATTCCTTATGTCAAGTCTCACCATTACAACCACAGATGTGTTACTTCATGATCTCTAGTCTATCATCGCTGGGCTTGTGGTACATTCTTCTCTTTCTGAATCCTACAGGTAAATTTTCTCTAGGTAATGGAATAATTTATGAAGGTACATGTACTAACGTCACCCTTCCATTCCCAAAGCAATCATTTGCTTACTTCAGACTAAGTCAACAACTAATTAGTTGTCCAGATGCATGTTATCTTATCCAGTACAAAAGCAGGTCTCTCCCACTTGAAGCTGTCAGAACCAAAATTTAATCTGATTGTTTTATAAGATCAAGATCTGTTTAGGTAAGAGCCAGTCTGCTGATGCTTTTGAAGTGGCAGTTTCTAGTGCTAACCCAGGTGTATCTGCTTTTGGCTGCTATTTAAATGGTGTAAACTGGATCGGTGCACATTAGGAGGGCAGAAATTTAGTTCAAACATTAACCACTCCAAGGAGCTGAGAAAATAGCTTTCGCTCTCAGTGGATGAAACTTGCTGAACTCCTTGCAGCAGCAGCAGAGGCTATGTGCATGCCTGGGCTGTTGACAAGTGTGTGGGAAACAGGCACATGTTTTCTGCTGACTTTAGTCTTTGCTTTCTGTGTCACTTCTGAACAGAAGAGGCTGAAGAGCCATACACCTAAAACAAGTTGGGCCACCATCATATTGATCATTTGGAATAATGCCTAAACCAGATTTCAGTAAGAGACTAGTTCCCTCCTAATTACTACTTAGCTCGTTACATTGAAGACTTCCTAGACACCATTGCATTATATTCTAAAACTACAGTTGGAGCTTAATTCTCTCTTCCTCTCTGTCTCTGAAATTCTACAGCTCTATTATTCAAGCCTGAAATATTCACAACTATCTATAAATTCAATTGTCAGCTGGTAGGTTTTATTCTAGACCTCACTTCAATCTAAAATTAGAGGCACTAAAATTCACATTAACTCTAAAAGGAATGTAGTGAATAAGACTTTATTTCAAAAGAACACCTTTTTGTCAGAAAGAGCTATTTTCAAGATGATGGCTTTATCTGCATTCAAAGAGAATAAGCCCAATTCCACATCGTGCTGTTAATGCAGAATTTTTTTAGGTCACATTGGATTAATAAAAATCTAAATTTAGTTAAGGTTTATGAATAGAAATAACACGTGTCATATAAAAGTGTACTATATTTATTTTGAAGTCTTGGTGGGGTTGTTTTTTTCTTTATTGTTATTTTCAGGCAAATAGTTGATAGCTCCACTGGAGGTGGAGCATGCCCCTGTGTGCCTTCTCAGAGCTCTCTCTGCTACTCAAGAATAAACAGGAGGCAAAAGCCTGTTTAAAGGCAAACACTACCTTCAGTCACCAGAAAAGAGCATAATTTGCTCTAACAAAACTTCCATTTCTGTATCCATGGACGATAGACTGTTAAGGCAGTGGGAAGCCTACTTCAAACTAAGTAAAAAAAAAAAAGTGCACACACTCACTTACACTATAAACCTTCATATTTATAACTACAAGATACAGGAATCAATAATCTGAGTTAGGTTTAATTATTTGGCACAAACACTACTGGCAGAAGGTTACAGCAAGAGGATGCTACAAAACCAAATTCACTGCTTTAGAAAACACACAAAAATACAGCGACCAATGTACTGTGCGCTTTGTGTTCATGAAATAATTTTCTAATAATCATTAATGAATCTGTTAATTACATTACATTCATATTTCTTCCTACTTCCCATGCTAGTAATGATATTGATACTGCTGAGATTGGCTAAAGCAGTTCAATACTTTAGTGGACTGCGTAAATTAATTGGGCTCAATTACATAGTCATGGAGGAGAAAACCTTCCCATGCAAGTCAATGAAAGATTTTTCTATACCAAGATCTGACTACAAGTTTAGAATATTATTTCTTCTTTCCTTCCTTCATTCTACCTGTTTTAAAAGGATATAAAACAACATATTATTAGTATACTGTAATTCTATTATTTATTTTATTCTGGGTTTCCAAAACAGGACAAAATCTACATATAGCAGGAGCAAGGAAACAATACTACCTTCAGAAGTGCTATACAGTAACTAAGCATGCATCGATTCATTCCAGCCATCAGAATGGTCCCCATTTAAAAATAAAAGTAAAGATCAACATTTACGGAGTTTCCACGTAATGGTATGAGAGATCAGTTATTTTCTATTCAAAGAAAAGCATTTCTTTGGTGTCACAGATGTCATAGTGTGTCATTATTCATTAATGGTTCACTTTTTTATTATAACCACTATAAATGGCCCTCAGCAAGACAGGTATTATCACACACTAATAATTATCATTTTGCACTTTAATGTTGCCATCCTTCCAATACTTCCCAAAGTGTTTAATAAATTTCAGCTGATATAGTCTCACAAAAGCCATTTTGTACATGTGAAAACCAAGGTATAAACAAAGCCTCGGCCTAGATTATACACAGGCAGTCTGTGATGAGGCCAACTCTCCGTAATGAAAGGCCCAGGTTTTAACCACAAACACCATCTTTTCTGTCATACACTTTTAGTAACATTGCACTGTTCTATACCAGAATCAATAGACTGAAAACTGTGAGGCATGTGCCAGTGATTTCCTGTAGTTCACTTCTCTGAATGTAAAAGGAAAAAGTATCTGCATGGAAGGAAACCAAAACGTTGCTTCTTGCACTGACACCCAAGTCACCTCGAGACTCTCTCACCAGCTCTTGTTACAGAGCTGAGTTACAATTTCAGCTGAGCCACTTTACAATGAGCATTTTTTCTGCTTCAGC